TATTTTAATCTTACGGGATTTAAATATTTTGGGTTTGACAATTGACAATATATAAAATCTGGTTTTTTATATATTTATATTGTAGAATCAATAAATCCCGGGATTTTTTTTCCTAGAACATTTGTACTGTAGATGACTTTTATTTTGTATTTTTTTCTGTATTCCTCTGTAATTTCCTCGTCATTTTATGTAATAGAAACTGTTAGTCTTAATTAATTTTACCTTTTATATATTTTTCCTTAATTAATTTTACCTTTTATATATTTTTCTCGGAGTATTTTTTTACTTTCTTTCTTTCTTTCTTTCTTTCTTTTTTCTTTCTTTTCTTCTTTCTTTCTTTCTTTCTTTCTTTCTTCTCTTTGTTCCTTAGTGTTCAATAATCCTATGTTCATTATTTGTGTTTTCATTCCCGTGTTCACCATCCCTCTGTTCACCATTCGTGTGTTCACCATCCCTCTGTTCACCATTCCTGTGTTCACCATCCCTCTGTTCACCATTCCTGTGTTCACCATCCCTCTGTTCACTATCCCTCTGTTCACTATCCCTCTGTTCACCATCCTTCTGTTCACCATTCCTGTGTTCACCATCCCTCTGTTCACCATTCCTGTGTTCACCATCCCTCTGTTCACCATTCGTGTGTTCACCATCCCTCTGTTCACCATCCCTCTGTTCACCATTCCTGTGTTCACCATCCCTCTGTTCACTATCCCTCTGTTCACCATCCTTCTGTTCACCATTCCTGTGTTCTCCATCCCTCTGTTCACCATCCCTCTGTTCACCATTCCTGTGTTCACCAATCATCTCTTTATTTTTGTTTCTTTTTGGTGTCTGTCTATGTCTCCGTCTGTCTGTCTGTGTCTGTCTGTCGGTGTGGGTGACAGGCTCAGCAGTGTCCGTGGCTCACCTGGTCACCGCCTACTGTGGCTCCTCCAGTACCTCGGCTGAAGAGAAGGGTAAACCACTCCTGTAGAATTTGTATACTAGTGGAGGGTAAACTTCTGCTGTGGTGTTGGAGGGTAAACTTCTGTTGTAGTGTTGGAGGGTAAACTTCTGCTGTAGTGTTGGAGGGTAAACTTCTGCTGTTGTGTTGGAGGGTAAACTTCTGCTGTAGTGTTGGAGGGTAAACTTCTGCTGTAGTGTTGGAGGGTAAACTTCTGTTGTAGTGTTGGAGGGTAAACGTCTGCTGTAGTGTTGGAGGGTAAACGTCTGCTGTAGTGTTGGAGGGTAAACTTCTGCTGTAGTGTTGGAGGGTAAACTTCTGTTGTAGTGTTGGAGGGTAAACGTCTGCTGTAGTGTTGGAGGGTAAACGTCTGCTGTAGTGTTGGAGGGTAAACTTCTGCTGTAGTGTTGGAGGGTAAACTTCTGCTGTAGTGTTGGAGGGTAAACTTCTGCTGAAGAGATCGTTGTCGTGTACCGTAGGAAGGTAAACTAGTACCTCTTTAGATGACTATTTTGATGGGTACTAAAATACCTTGACACTATCTTAACTAAGTTCCTTGAAGGGTTTACAGACATCTTGAACTATATTGATGACTAATTAAGAAAAATATCGTAGGTGTTATTTTTGCTTTAAGACCAAATGAAAAAGAATTGATTGAAAAGAAGGCACATCGGTTGAAAGGGACAGTTATATTTTTTCGTAATACTAAGGCAAAATATACATATTAGAGAGAGAGAGAGAGAGAGAGAGAGAGAGTAATGCAAATTTGATTTTTCTGGAATATTCATGTACACTATACTGGAAAATGAATATTCTAATGATGAAGTATATTAAACAGAATATATGCAGGATATGGTTTCAGATTTTTTTACGTCCCGATTTTTTTTTAGAGGGTCTCGATTTTTTTTAGGAATTCCGACTTTTTTAGAGGGTCCCGATATTTTTTGGGGTCCCGTTTTTTGGTGGGTTCCTATTTTATTGGGGGGGTCCCGATTTTTTAAGGGACCCGATTTTTTTTCTAGTTTCTCAAAGGGAAGGATGTTTGAACCCCTTCAATAAGACGTTAATCTACCCTTTGACTTTAGTGTATATCGTTCGCTTGAGTAAGGTATCTTTAGTACCTACAGTGACTTAACCCCTTGGGTATAGTGACTTAACCTCTTTGAGTACAATGACCTAACCCCTTGAGTACAGTGACTTAACCTCCTTGAATACAGTGACTTAATTTCATGAGTTCTAGTTATGAGTTATTAGGATTTTAGGATATATATATTTTGAAAGTTTATATCCACAGTGTTATTTCTTACTGGCTGGGATTAAAGTCCACACATCTTGGTTGGGTAAAGCTTTGAGAAATGAATGCCTTTTATTATCGTAGTGTTATCTTGCCCTAAATCGAGAAGTTATTTTTTTTTAACATTTCCAAAAGCGACTGTCAAAAATAAAGCCACGTTTTGTATTTGTGGAGTTCTGGACGACATATGGATCGAGCCAAAGTGGGGTGTTTTTTTTTAAGTGTGTTTGGACTCTGGGAAATGATTTTATGATGGGAATGTTTCTGCTCTTGTAAAAACAGTCAGTGGTGATAGAATATGGTCAGGTGTGTGTGTGTGTGTGTGTGTGTGTGTGTGTGTGTGTGTAATGGTCATGAAGGAAAATCAATAGATATGATATAATTCGAGATATAATCAGTACTAAATTTAGATAATAATAATAATAATAATAATAATAATAATCATAATAATAATAACAAAAATAATAAATACACAAAAAGTAAAACACTAAAATACATTAATAAAAATAAATAAATAAATTAATATAAAACAAATACACTAAACCAATAACAAACAAACAAATAAAAATAAAGAAATTGTTAACAAAATAAATGAGTAATAAAAAAAACGAATAAAATAGATGTAAATTTGATAAAGATAAATTAATAAATAATGTCAAAACAAAAGCCAGAAACAACAGAATAAAAAGAAAAGAAAACAGTTTGAGGAGGAAGGAAAAGAGAGAGAGGGAAAGAATTTGAATTTCCAATGGTAGGGAGGAGGCGGCGTGAGGGGGTATTTGTATTCAAAATGTTCAATACATTTAAGGGGAAGGTGACTAAGTGTGTGACCCCCCCCTCCCTCCCTCCCCTTTACTCCCCTCCTACCCCTACCCCTCTACTACCCCCTCCTAGCCCCGTACCCCCACCATTTCCCTCCTCCTCCCCATCTCCTCTCTTCTTTTTCCCCCTCCTTTCTTTTTTACCACTTCCTTGTTCTTCTACCCTCCCTCTCTCTCTCTCCCACCCAATACCATCACCACCATCACCACACCTCCACACCACCATCACCACCTCCAACATCACCATCACCACCTCCAACACCATCACCACCATTAACCCACATGATGCGCCTTACTCTCCCACATATCCCGTCATCATTTTCTTGTGGTACCCAATTAGCTGTGTGTGTGTGTGTGTGTGTGTGTGTGTGTGTGTGTGTGTGTGTGGGTTGGTGTTATGCGTGTGTGAATATTTTAGGCCGTGGCAGAGATGAAATATTTATGAAATGGGATGAGGCGTCTTTGGTTCGATCGACCATATTTCCTACCCCCATCCAGGTTGTAAATGGCTCCTTACCTTTACAGTTTGGAAAGTAAAGGCGATCGAGTGCAGTACCTAGCGGATACTCACGCCTACGGGTCTCTCTACCATGAATATTTAAGATATGGTAACAGTGTGTCCTATATAGGCCTGACGTCTCATTATGGATGCAACGTGTTATCTACTTTCTCTTCAACACACACACACACACACACACACACACACACACACACAGAGGGGTCAGGTATAGGGCTCGAGAACACCTGGTTCGTATCTCAGAGGAGGTCTTGCAAATCTAGGTAGGGTGAACAGGAATACATTACCCTTAGGCTGTGGATATACCTGGACCAACCTGCATACTATTACTGGTGGAGAGAGAGAGAGAGAGAGAGAGAGAGAGAGAGAGAGAGAGAGAGAGAGAGAGAGAGAGAGAGAGAGAGATTAATTCCTCCAGCAAGACAGACGCCATTATTAGTGTCTCAGGTCTGGAGGTGTTAATGGTAGATATATTAATGGTAGATATATTAATGGTAGGTATATTAACGGTAGATATATTAATGGTAGGTATATTAACGGGTATAACAGGTGGTAGGAGGACCAAGAGGATGCTGACACAACGATAGATGAACGAAATTAAAATCTATGATCACCAGAGACAAAATTGGGAAGAATTAGTAAACAAAGAGAGCCTTTTAAGTGTATTGGGGGTGGTGGGCTGTGGTCGCCAACCCTCAGACGTGAATATAACACCTCCTTTTATTTGTATATCCTCTAGAAAAAAAAAAGATCTGCTATGTAATAAATATATGCGTATTAAAGTATATTATATAGTTTTTGTAGATATTTTAGAAACATATTGGTATAATATGTATTTTGTAGTTTTTACTGGTGATATATTTTTTAATTTAGTCTTTTGTTAATATAATTGATTTTCACTCTGATAATATTTCTCTTTCAGTGATTTTTAAAAGTATCTTGATGTATAATTTTTAATATACGGTTGCAAGGTTTAAATACGCTTAAATTTTGTCCAAATTCAATTTTCTTAAGCAAGTTTAATTTTTAATATATTTTTTTAGTGCGATATTACAATAGTTATATAACCTTGGGCATATTGTTGTTGTTTACATTGATTCAAAAAATTTAATTCTTGATATAATGTTATAATATTTTTGTAACCATTGCTAGTGCAGAGCTATTGGAATTTTTAATATAATTTTATTGTCTTTTAAAAATTTGCATTACAGTCTATATTTAAATCCATTAGTTTCCTCCCTCGAATTTATTTTAGTTAATTTCATTGTATATTTTTTGGTGTGTGTGTGTGTGTGTGTGTGTGTGTGTGTGTGTGTGTGTGTGTGTGTGTGTGTATGACGTATAAAAGCCCATATATACCTTTAATTAATTGTGTATTTACCTGTGTATTTTTTCCCCCTACTGATTACTTATTCGTATATCCCACAGTTTTCAAATCAGGTAAGCCCGCAAGGGTGTTTAATACTCACTCTGTCTGTCTGTCTGTCTGTCTCTATGTCTGTCTGTCTGTCTCTATGTCTGTCTGTCTGTTTCATTTGTGTTATGTTTGATCTCTGTTTGCTTTATATGGTGTTTGTTTTTCTCTCCTCTCTCTCTCTCTCTCTCTCTCTCTCTCTCTCTCTCTCTCTCTCTCTCTCTCTCTCTCTCTCTCTTATTTACCTTTGCATTCCTTCTCTCTCTATATCTCTCCGTTTCTCTCAGTTCTTCAATATATATAATGTCATCGTTGCTTCATTCCAGTGTATAAACTTATTCACTAAAGTCAATGAAAAACACCTCTCTAAATCATTAACTTGAACCATATTAAAATAAATTAACAAAATATAATAAACAAGGTAAGTCTTTAAAGGCCAGATTGGTTTATTTTTTTTTTTCTTTTGGTTTATAAATTTGTGGTTTATTTCTGAATGTTTTATCTGGGTTTGGAGTCTGTTTTTGTTTTTGTTCTTTGTGTTGTTTGTTTATTTGTTTGTTGTTTGTATTTTATTCTATTTAGGTCGTCTGAGGATTGGCGACCACAGCCCACCAATTATTTTATTGAATATATTTTAGGTTTGTTCCTCTGACTTTACATAATAATAAAAATAATAATAATAATAATAATAATGAGTTAATATATTTTAAGTGTTAAATAATATTACTAAATATCTCTTAAATTCCTCCACTTAAATGTTGACATACGGGAGATATAGCATTACTTATAAACACACTTATGGAACACTTTAAAGAGATAAACTCTGATGTGATGACGTGTTAAGTGGTACTGATAGATTTTTGTAAGTGTGTTTTTATATTTAAGTTTACTTGATGGTCGCTTTATTGAGGTAAGTTTAAAGTGCACTATTGGAACACTTTTATCATGACTCGTGAAAAGTGTACTTGTGAGGCACTTTAAAGTGACCCGTGTTAAGTTTACTAGTGGATTAAAGCTGCAAACTGTGTGTGTGTCTGTGTGTTTGAGTTAATATTTTGTCTTTAATGCAGAAAATGGAAAGGTGTTTTGCGTGTGACTCAAACAAGCAACTATAGCGACTATCTTTATAGCCAAACAAACAACTAAAACAAGTATATTTCCATCGTTAAACAACTAAAACAAGTATATTTCCATCGTTAAACAATTAAAACAAGTATATTTCCATCGTTAAACAATTAAACAAGTATATTTCCATCGTTAAACAATTAAAACAAGTATATTTCCATCGTTAAACAACAACTAAAACAAGTATAATTCCATCAGCTAAAACAACTAAAACAAGTATATTTCCCTTCTGTTAAACAACTAAAACAAGTATATTTCCATCGTTAAACAACTAAAATAAGTATATCTCATCGTTAAACAACTAAAACAAGTATATTTCCTTCGTTAAACATCTAAAACAAGTATATTTCTTTGTTCACATCCTGGGAAAAAAAAAGACACGTTTATTTTGTTTGTATTCGTGAGTAGGTTTTATATCTTCTCGCAAGGCTGCTCTCTGAGACACCCGGTCATCCACACACACATCCGGTTACATCCATCGCCTTGCCTATACCCGACACTCACCCTCTCATCCATCGAACCAACCACACACACACACACACACACACACATCTCTCTCTCTCTCTCTCTAAAAAAAATCTAAATCACATTATCTTTCTCTCTTTTACTGTAATCCTTAGAGAGAGAGAGAGAGAGAGAGAGAGAGAGAGAGAGAGAGAGAAGTTACTGGAGCTATACCGTAATCCAGAGAATGGTATTACCTCCCTAATGGCACAACCCCATTGCTTTCACATTTAAATTCTGTTGTTACTGGTGTTGCCTTGTGTTGTGTTGTGTTGTTGCTGGTGTTGTGTTGTGGTGTGTTGTTGTTACTGGTGTTGCGTTGTGTTGTGGTTACTGGTGTTGCGTTGTGTTGTGTTGTGTTATTGCTGGTGTTGTGTTGTGGTGTGTTGCAGTGTGTTGTGTTGTGTTGTTACTGGTGTTGCGTTGTGTTGTGTTGTTGTTACTGGTGTTGCCTTGTGTTGTGTTGTTACTGGTGTTGCGTTGTGTTGTGTTGTTGCTGGTGTTGTGTTGTGGTGTGTTGCAGTGTGTTGTGTTGTGTTGTTACTGGTGTTGCGTTGTGTTGTGGTGCTATGTTGTGTTGTGTTGCGTTGTATTATGTTGTGTTAAGTTGTGTTGTATTGTGCCGTGTCGTTTCGCCGTGTCGTGTCGAAGCTGGTGGTAAGTTTAGTCTCCTGAACTGTGTCATTCGGGTCTAAAAACAACCAATCCCAAATTAATGTCTTTTGTAAGGTAATAAACCCTGTTATTAAGATCTTGTACGGCTGTTAGACCCCGATATTATGGTCTTTTATATGGCGAAAACCCATCGTTAAACCTGGATTTTCGTTTTTTTTCGTGTTTTTTTCTTCAGGTTGTTAAACCCCCTGATATTAAGGTCCTTCTCTGTGTTTAGTCTACCCTGAAATGTATTCCGTTTTCTCTTTGGTTAAAAAAAAAACTCGGTGTCAAAGCGAATTTAAGGAATAATGTGTGTGTGTGTGTGTGTGTGTGTGTGTGTGTGTGTGTAATAATAATAATAATAATAATAATAATAAACGGTTTATTGAAAAAGTTTGCAGCCCGAAGGCTGAAAATATACATTGGACATAAATGACTTATTACATACATTGGTGGTTTAACAAAAGCCTTCATTAGAGAAAGGTGAAGGAACATACAGATTAATGTTTACACACATAGATCATGTGAGCTGAGGTGTTGAACAGCAGACACGTAGTGTAGTAACTCCCTCACAGGTGGTGTTATGAGGGGCTTGACGTGGTGTAGCAATTCCCTCACAGATGGTGTGTGTGTGTGTGTGGAGGGGGGGAGGAGGTAAAGCAGTTCTTGAGACGACTGGACAAACACTGGGACAGACTTGGAGTTAAGCTCTCAGAAAAAAAAATCCTAACCTAACCTAACCTAACCTAACCTGAGCCTAACTACCCGAGGCAGTCTTTGACCCTTGTGACTTCTGCAGTGTAAACTAAGACTGTAATTTTTTCCTCTACTCTATGTAAACATAATCAGGAAGACGACACGACACGACACGACACGACACGACACGACACGACACGACACGACACGACACGATGCTACATAACCTGACACCACACTACTCCGCTTCTTCTTTTTCTTCCTTGTCCTCCTCTTCTTCTTCCTCTTCCTCCCCCTCCCTCTCTTCCTTCTCACTTTCTTCCTCCTCCTTCTCCTCCTCATCTTCCTCTTCCCTCTCTTCCTCCTCCTGCTCTTCTCTTACCCCTTCTCCATTTCCTCCTCCTCCTCGTCCTTCCTCTTCCTCCTCCTCCTCCTCTTCCCTCTACCTTCAAATAGGGAAGCAGCCAACTTTCCCCTGATGGCCTCCACTTACCCTCAGTTGGGATTCCTGAAATTGACCTCCTAGCTTACCCTTGGAAGTTTTAGGACCAATGAGAATACTCGTAAGAATATATATGGAGTCACTCGACCAATCAGAACTAGGGAATAGTGAAGGCAGAGGAAGTAGCAGGAGTTAAATGTACAGTATTTGAAAACGAGTTATTATTATTATTATTATTATTATTATTATTATTATTATTATTATTATTATTATTATTGTTGTTGTTGTTGTTGTTGTTGTTGTTGTTGTTGTTGTTGTTGAAGACGGATGTTACTGTAATTGTGTTAAATTTTCAATATTTATTACTCTCAGCTGGTGAAGTTACTTAAGGTCAATGGTCTGTTTTGTCTGTCTGCATCTACCATGGACTCTCTCTATCCACAAACTTCAAAATCAAAAGACAACTTCCCCTCCCTCCCCTCCTCCTCCCCTCCTCCAAACCTAAAGCCCAATTTCACCCTCTCACCCCTTTGCTTACTCCTCCCCTTCCCCCTGCCCTTACACCCTTTCCCTCCCCTTCTAAATCCAAAACCCAACTTCACTCCTTCCAAATATCTCCCCTACCTTTCCTCCTCCCCTTCCTCATTCTACCCCTTCTTTCCCCTCCCTATCCGCTCTAAAGTCAAAATCCAACTTCATCCTCTTTCCCATTCTTTCCCTTACCTTCTCTCCTCTTCCCCTTCCCATCTCCTCCTCTTCTCCTTCCCCCCACCCCTTCTTCCCTTTCCCATCCCCCCTCCTCAAAGAGAAATATATACCGGGTATATTTTTTTTATTTTTTTATTTTTTTATTCCCTGCCCGTCCGGTTATATGCTCTCGCCTGGCCGGATTTAGTGAAGGTTATCGTAGTAATTCGGTGTAACCAGTTCAAATGGCATACAATTTGGTGAATTAGTCGGGAGTATTTCGTCGGGCGAATGGTCGGAACGCACCCACCGTTTGCGATTATGCGGATCTAACTTATTTAATCTGGTAATTGATATTTCTGGGGAATTTTTATCGCAGGATTCCCTTCCCCGTAATGCCATATACATCCTGGGTTTCGGAGGCTGTTATGTAGGTTAATACCGGATAATGTAGTTTCTGTGTTTGGCTAATGGCGGTCTGAAGTATTGTTGGTTTGTTGCCTGTAAATCTTTGTTTGTTTTTCTGAGATGTGTGTGTGTGTGTGTGTGTGTGATTCGTGTTGTTTGTGTGTCTTGAGTCGTTCTTGTTTAGATGTTTGGGTTATGGTTGTTGTGCGTTTGTTTCATGTTTGAGTCTTGATTATTGGTTGTTGGTTTCTTGCAATGTCATCTCTCTCTCTCTCTCTCTCTCTCTCTCTCTCTCTCTCTCTCTCTCTCTCTCTCTCTCTCTCTCTCTCTCTCTCTCTCTCTCTCTTTTTCTCTCTCTCTCTGTCTCCGCCATATTTTTTTTTTAATTTGCCATGGCTGTCGATCGTATTCTCCTATCCACTTCCTATATCCATGTCCCTCTATCCACCTGCCCTATCCACTTCCTCAGAGGTTTCGAGTCCCTTATAAACGTCTTCTGTCTGTTTT